GGTAAACAAATGACGTCATGATATGTTTATCAAATGATTGTCGATCACTGGGTTAACTGTTCTTAAAGTGTCCCAAAGAAAATATCGAATTTCAAAACCACCAAAATGAAAATAAACGCGAATATTATTTACTATCAAAATTCGATGGTAAACTAACTGTTCTATGAAGTTATTCTTTATAAAGTTTAAAGCAGGCTTGATATAATGAATTAGTAAATGATATTTGTTCAAATGATTATACAGGTGATCTTTATAAGTGGGATTAAAGAGATGAGTTTGAAATATATATAAAGAAAAAAACATCGAATGCTAATAAGTTTTACTGTCTCTTGCTTTCATTTATCAGTTTCACTTGTTTCGCCAGTTTAACATTTTGCCTTTTAAAAATTTCTAGCAAATATCATACCTATGTTTCGATTTTTTTACATAATACCCTCAGGTCTCTCCTGATAACTGTTAAGGATGTCAATTTCAAACAAAAAGAATACTTTTTGACGCGATAGATTTGGTTGACACGTGTTTGGTAGCACGGGACCAGGATCGGGTTCGTGTAACTTACGCATTGCATGATCGAACATCATGTAATATAAATAGAACAATGGTCTTTAGTTTTAGAGAAGCAAACAATAAGAATATAGAAGTCTTTAATAAAACCTCTAAACTATAAACTGTGTGTTTAACATATCACTTTGTACGTGATACAGTAATGGCAAATGACAAGGTCATAAAAATTTTATGAAAATAACCATAAATGACATGTCATTTTAAAATGACAATGTCATTTATTATAAAAAAATTTTATACAAAGCCATGGCAAAATGACAAGTCATAAAAAATATATTTATAAATGTCATTAAAATGAGAAATAAATGACAATAAAGCCAGCTACTTTCTAAAGCTGTCATTGGGCCGCCTTACCACAGTTCACCTTTCCTATAAAAAATTTTCGAAAAATGTATCCCGACTTTCTCCAGACTATTGTTCCATTATTGTTCCGAAAATGTTCATTTTTAGGAATAAGCTATATATGAATTCCTGGTCATTTCCATAGAATTCTGATAAATTCCGGATAATATTAGGCTTCTGATTATAACAAAGTACAAAGTATTAGAAGCTGAATCTTACACGGATTTGATACCTACCCGAAACTTACCTAGATTCTATAGAAATGGACAGAAATTTGTATATGTTTTGTTTCAAAAATTGAGCATTTTCCAGAAAGATGTATTTCGAAAATTTTATAGGGCTTATAACTGCAAAAAAAGATTAACATCTGCATCTGATGTCCCTGCTGTGTTATCGATTTTCAAAGTTGATTGTACCAGCTTTTCCTTCTGGAGTCCTGGACACTCATATGAATGTCAACCTGCCACTGTCTCACTGCTTTTGCTCCCTTTTCGATCTGTTGACATCACTGTCAACTTGAAATATTAACAAACATTTCAATTAAAACGTTAAATTCTGACCCTAAAGAGTTAACTATAAATATTATTAGAATAGCTGCTTAACAGCAACTATAAATAGCTATTAGAATAATAATTATCTAATACCAACTCATAAAGAGCCGTTAGAATAACTATCTAATACTAACTATAAAGAGCTGTTGAAAATGATTATTTGATTATTTGGCATTCACGGTATGACTGATTATTAGTTATCGTGCAAACTTTTATGATCATAGATTTTTTTCTTCTTGTTATTTTTTGTACTTTATTACATAAGCACAACAATCTCAAATTAAAACTCAGTTAGCCAATAATGACTTGTAAATCATGATTATAATTGTACGATAACATCGATATTGAATCATGTGATGATAAATATCATAAAATTTGTTCTGCCGAAACAAATTGTTGGCTGAAATGTGCCGCTGTGCGGCACATGTCAGCCAACCATTTGCTCTGACAAAACAAATTTCATGATATTAATCGTTGCATGACCAATATCTTATACATGATATAAATATTTTCTAAATTTATTTGATTGTAAATTGAAAGTTGAATTTTAGATATATTATTAGGGAGTTGTTATTGCCACCTCCACGTGATATATAAACTGTGTTGTAAAAATAAAAATTTTAAAAACTTTGAGCGAATATATATTGACAACTACCTGCTTGAATCTGATAAAACCTTTTAGAAAATTTGCCGTAGCTTCTATTTTGACAGACGGTTTTATTTTTATCTAATTTTGAGCGAAGATATCTCGGTAACCACTTGACTAAATTCAATAATAATTTTTTTATTTGAATTATATATACCTGTAGAATTCAAACAAAAAAGGTTTTATCGAATTTGGTCGGGTGGTCATCGAGATATCTTCGCTCAAAGTTAGAGAAACGTTTGCGTAATTCCTACTTTGATAGGTGTTTTGATTTGTCTCTAATTATCTCGACAACCACATAGCTAAATTCGATGATATTTTTTTTATTTAAATTCTATGAATCCATAGAATTCAGATCAGCATGATGGAAGTTTGTTTTGATTGGCTGATCAGCAAAAATTCTGATTGGCTAAAATTAAAGGATAAGCCTTCGTTACTCCTGTACTCCAAAGATTTGTATTTCCAATACTTTTATAGTATTTCGTGAAACAACTGATCTTTTGAAACACTTATTCGAAAGAAAATTCTTAATTTTATTAGTTATTACTATCTAAAAGCTAAAAAATACATAATACTATTATCGTTCTATATTTTGGCATTATCAGATTCGCTTCTAATAAAAGTTGGTGAAACACTTGATCTAACTTGATCTGAAACGTTTATATGAAAGATAAGCTATTGAAAAATCATCTGACAAAATTTTAGGTGGCTTTGATTATAAAAATTTCGATATTGCTACTTTAGATACGGATTTTTTATTGTAAAATAATATAAAAACTTGTGTAACAATGGTTTGTCTATATAAAATAAGTAACCAATCAAAACAAACTTCCATCATGCTATTCAGATCTAAAAGGTTTTATCAGATTCAAGCAGGCAGTTATCAATATATCTTCGCTCAAGGTTTTTAAAATTTTTATTTTTACCGATATAGTTTATATATCACGTGAGGTGGCACTAACAAATTGGGAGGTGGCAATAACGACTCCCTATTACCGGTATTATTATATCAAAAATAATTATCATGTCAATATCAATTAAAATTAGTCAATTTATTTAAATATTAATAGAATAAATATCTTAATATTTGAATATTGAATAGTCTGAATATAATTCTTCACAAATCACGGAAATAATTTCTCAATAGGGTTCTTAATATAGTCTGGTGAAAAAATCAATGCAATCATAATAATACAAAACAATATAGAAAACGCTAGACAAATCCATGCCCAAGTTTCTCCAAATATACCATAAACTGTTTTTACACGTTTATATAAAGGTATTTGAAATGATATTATTAAATCATCCATAGTTTCTACTGCCACGTAGGTTTGACCATAGGGCCCCCAAGCTCCAGAGATTCCATGATGACTACATCGGAATGATGTGAATCCATTTTCGATTGATCTTATCGTGTTGATACGAAAATGATAACCAGCACTTGGACCTGAAAAAGGAATTAATGTAATTAATAATGTATGAAATTTAAATGAAGCGCCTAATTATAAATGTTTATATATAGTATAATTACCCTTAGTATAATGATGTAACATTAAAAATGAAATTAGTTCAAATGCTTTTAAATATCAATTAACATATCAATATGAACTTACCCAAGTATCCGAGGGTTGTATCATGAAATCAACATTATTTTTTGATGCTTGACTAATAAAACTTGGAAAATTATAGTCAAAACAAATTGCACCTCCGATAGTACCAAAATCTGAAGTAACATTAGTTTGCAAAATTTGGGGCCCAGCAGTTACTTCACTTTCTACAAAAGGTACTAAATTTGATTTGGCATAATTGATCAAAATATCGCCGTTTGGTGATATTACAGTTAATTTATTATATAGCTTCCCATTACTTGATGATGCATCAGCATAAGTAAATCCAATATAGGTTTTGTACATTTGTGATATATTTTTTATTCCCTGTTCAAGTTCATTATATTGTGCTGTGTCATTAACAAAGAGTATAGCTTCAGACCATAAAATAAATTTGCTACCATTTCGTGCTAATTCTTCTGTTCGATTAACATAATATTTAGTTTCATAATTACTGTAAGTACCAATCACGCATCCAACTTTAGCAAGTGAATGTGCAGCGTATGATTCAATATTTCGTTGATAGAATGGAATATATGTTGTTGAATATCGAATTGATCCATAAACAATCACCCAGAAAATAACAATAAAATAAATCATCACGGGATTGGATAATTTATTGATCTTAATGTTTTTAAATTTTCGACTTTGTCGTGTAGAATTAACATCATTTTCTATAGTTTCCATATCAACATCATTTCCTAAAATCGGGACGTTGGTATTGCTTCCTGAAACTGATGAAACATCGCTTACGCTCTCCAATAATTGGTAAGATATATTGTCATGATCATTACCGAAGTTAGACGATATCCAAGTCTTAATCATGTAGGCACCTGTTGTTCCACCCCAGGACAAAATGAAATTTAGCCCACCCAATCCAGCAAATGATGTAAATTGCGTCATTTCATTATTTCCCAAAAAGATGTATCTAAAAATATGAATACAAATATTAATATAAATCACAATATTCCATGGTTCCAAATAATTGACTACGATAAATTATTGTATAAATATTAAAAATACTTGCGCGTAACTAGTAAGGTCACCTAAAAAACAGGTATATAAAAGTATTGTCCACAAAGCTGGTTGTAATAATGATAATTATAATCCATGCACTTTCTATAAAAAGACTTAACGCTAAAAGCAAATAAATTTACAAACCTGTCCAGATACAGGGAAAAACAAGAAATCTGGGCCATCCTTTGAATACATTTTGAGCCATTTTATCAATAGCTAGACTAATACATGATAAAATATTCATTCCAAAACCAAGCGCTGCAGCAAATAAGAAATACTCGGGTAACCAATTAGAATCATTGGTATTTAAAGATCCTAAAAATGCTAATGTTGTTCCGAAACTGTTGGCAAAATAAAATGGAATAAACCATCGAATTGAAACTGTTCGACAGTAATATACGGACAAGGGAAACCATATCCACACAAATATTGATATTGTTTGGTATCCTGGACCAAAAAATGTTAGAATTAGAAATAATGGAATCAAATAATGAATCTTATCCATTTTTTTTAAAAAAAAGTTTGGCACGTACAGTACGTACGTACGTACATATATATATTAATTAGTGATGCAGTAGAGTAAAGCACTGCTACGTTCGTAACTAGTTACGGCAATTCATTGCATGTCCGGTAAAAAAAAAGGGGGTAATTATTCCCTTATCGGTTAACCGAATTTGGATAGGAGGGATCAGAAAATTAGGCGGCATCCATAATTTACGTTAAACCATAAAATTCTTAAAGATAATTAATACAAAAAGAATACCAGTTAGTACAGTATTATTATCAAGGTTTCTATATATTTCTATACAATACAGCTGGTTTAACGTAAATCATGGATGCCGCCTTATAGGTTCAAAATTCAGGGTTGTTGCTCATTTTTTCGATAGTCTATTTACCGACAGACATTTACCTGACATTGCATAGGGTTAGGGTTAGTATTTTTATTAGCTGTAGCTTTATAATAAATTATCACCTCTTTTGTGATGTCAAGCAAATAATCTGTCGGGGAAGTGGCCTTTGGGAAAATTATACATCCTACATTCTAAGATAGACGATTTTTAAATTGTATATAAGTGGATTCGGAGTTTTTGTGGATTCATTAGTGGATTTGGGTGCTCTCAAGTAGTGAATTTCCTCGATTATATAATCCTCGATCATTAGTCGATTATCTTGATGATCGAGCACGATGTTATGGGCTCGATCATTTGAATACATTTTGAGCAAATTTATCAAAAAGCAGACTAATACATAATAAAATATTCATTCCAAAACCAAAAAGTGCACAAGCTAAAAAATATTCTGGTAACCAATTACTATTATCATGATTTAGAGATCCTAAAAATGCTAGCGCTGTTCCAATACTGTTGGCAATAAAAACTGGAATAACCCAAAAAATTGGAACAGTTCGACAGTAATATACGGATAAAGGGAACCATATCCACGTAAATATTGATATTGTTTGGTATCCTGGACCAAAAAATGTTAGAATTAGAAATAATGGAATCAAATAATGAATCTTAT